CATGGGCACTAATACGTCCACAGGCATTTCCCGATATCTAGCAGGCTGTTTATCCCATTTGGCTCCAAAAGGCATTAAAAAAGCTTTCCACCCAAAATTGTTTTCTGCATGTTCTATATGTATTGCATAGCACAGATTGGTGATATGTGCTTGAAAAGATTCTACAAGTCTCAACTATTAATCCCATTGCCACTTTACAATGTCTTGGTAAGGTCACATTTGGAATACTGCATCCAGTTTTGGTCACCACGATGTAAAAAAGATGCTGAGACTCTAGAAAGAGTACAGAGAAGAGCAACAAAGATGATTAGGGGACTGGAGGCTAAAGCATATAAGGAACAGCTGCTGGAATTGGGTATGTCTAGTTTAATGAAGAGAAGGACAAAGGGGGACATGATAGCAGTGTTCCAATATCTCAGGGGCTGCCACAAAGAAGAGGGAGTCAAGCTATCCTCCAAAGCACCTGAAGGCAGGACAAGAACCAACGGATGGAAACTGATCAAGGAGAGAAGCAAACTAGAACTAAGGAGAAACTTCCTGACAGTTAGAACAATTAACCAATGGAACAACCTGCCTCCAGAAGCTGTGAATGCTCCAACACTGGAAGTCTTTAAGAAGAGACTGGACAGCCATTTGTCCGAAATAGTGTAGGGTTTCCTGCCTGAGCAGGGGGTTGGACTCGATGACCTCCAAGGTCCCTTCCAACTTTATTATTATTATTATTACTTTGCTAAAACTATACATACTTTTAAAAAGATGTACTTAAGTTATTTCCATCTCCATCACAAATTCTAATAATAAAAGTGGAGTATAGTGAACAAATAGGACTTTTCCATTGTATTTCAGCCCTACCCTATAGAACAGGGATCCCCAACCCCTGGTCTGTGGACTATTACCGGGCCATGGCATGCCAGCAACCGGTCCGCACAAATAAGCAAAGCCCCATCTGCGGGATGCAGGAAGCACACAAAACCAGGCACCCTCCAGTCCGTGGAAAAACGTCTCTCCGTGGAACCGGTCCGGTGCCCAAAAGGTTGGGGACCTCTGCTATAGAACACCTTCTTCCATGAGAGCCAGCAGGCCTTTACCTTTGTAACCTTCTTTTAAGCATTTAAAAGCTGGCTTTCCCCACACTTTGAGATAGGATGAAGTGTGAGAATGTTGTGGGCTGCATCAGAGAAATTTGTTGTGATGCCAGGTTTCTGTTCTTCATTTTATTGTTGTTTTTATTATTTGCACAAATGTTTTTTATTCTTTGGTTGTGAGTTGTCCAGAGTTTGGTTTTAAACTGGGTGGCTATACAAATGTTTTAAATAAATGGAACCTCAAATAGCAACTTCATAGAGTCACTCTAAGAGGGAGATGGGCAGCTTTTGAATATGATATATAATAAATAAATCAGACTTCATACATAACACTCCCATAAAGACTTACATTTTGGTAAAAACTTGCAAAATCAGAAAGGTGCCATTTTTAGCCAAATTGTATTAATAGAAAAAAGTGTCAGAAAAAAAATAGATAAATCCAAATGCCACAAAAATAGCTCAGCCAATTTATCTACTAAGCATGTGCTAGCCTAGCAAACCCTGAGCATCTCTATAGGAGATCTGAGAATTAGGCTATGACTAGATGGCAATTAACATGTTCTTTGCCTAGATCAGAGATAGGGAGCATATTTACACTTTGTAGATAAGCACAGAGGATGCTGAGAGAAGACACAAGGTGCATTCCAGGAAAAGGGAGTTTGGCATTAGTGACCTAACGGTTCACCTCAGCTTGACCTGGCAGATCCCCTTGCAACTGAAAAGTCTGACTGGCCAGGCCATGAAACCGATGCCCTAATAATGCCTCTTATGCTTAGTGCTGCTCTCTGACAAGAATCAGTCTATGCAGGCCAGGGCAGCAGGAAAGCAGAAGGGCTCGGAAGTAGCGTTGCTGAGGAAGAAAAGGTGCAATGGCCAAGAAGGAAGACTGGATCTACTCTGCCATGTGTATCTCTCTGTAAGACAAGGAGTAGGAAAGACTGTAAACAATTAAACAAACAATCTCTCTCTGCTAGGCATAAGGAAGGAAGGACAGACTCAGGTAAGCAAGAAGAGATTAGAAAAGGGAAAGCAAACAAGAAAAAAAAAATCAAAGAAATAAATACATTTCTCTCAACATAGAAAGAAAAGGGAAAACAAGGTAAGATTGGGGCTGCTCACACTGTAATGTATTTCCTAGTTTATATTATAAAGCAAAAATATTGGAATTATGTTAATAAAAAAATTGTACTCTAAGTGGCCAAAGTGAAATAGCTGCTTCACAGTAGATTTTTTAAATACATTTTATAACATATAATAATTTTTACCCATCAGAGTTTCACATCAATGCATGAAAACGCTTTGTGTTGCAGTTGTTCTTTCCACCTCAATCAACTTTTCTGTTAGGAAAATGGGAAATCTACTCAGCTGATAAACTATATCAGATCTTCTAGTTCTCCTCAAACTTTCAAATAATCGTTCAATGTATCCTAGATTGTCTGGTAAACCTGAACCTTGAGGGAAATGAATTGCAGTGATTCTGGCCCTTCCTGTCAAGCCATGTCCTGAAATAAGAGTCTTCAGCTCTATACTTAAGTCATTTTCCTATGCTGTTCCATAGGAGTCCATCTTTTCCTGTATGCTGTTCATGTTTACGTGAAACTATTTGTATAGGACATTTGCATTTGGTCTGAAATACTATTAGTATTCTGATGATATATAGCTCCAAAATATTTTCCATTTCATTCCAAGGAAGCAATCATTATACTTGACCATTGCTTACACTGATGAGTTGAATTGAAGAAAACAAATTGAAATTCATTACTGAAATTCAAAAAAGATTTTTTGATAAAGTAATGGTGATGACCCATTAGTTTAACTCAAACAATAAGCCTACAATATACTTGATTCGCAGCTGTTAACAGTTTTCCTGATTGTAGTAGTGGCAAGAATCGCATTTTTAAAAATTATATCAATTGGACCAATTGATGTAATCTGACCATTTATTTATTTTGTTATATCCCAATTTGATTACAGTTACTCTTCAACTTACAATTGACCCCAAAATTTGTTAAGCGAGTTTTGCCCCATTTACAATCTTTCTTGCCACAGTTGTTAAGTGAATCACTGCAGTTGTTAAGTTAGTAACAAGGTTGTTAAGTGAATCTCAGATCTATAGGAGAAGATAGCCTTGCTTTCAGAGGACTACCTACAGTTAAGAGAGCTTATTTTGTCACTTTACGTTCTTTACCTTTAGAAAACTTGTAAAAACTCTTTACCAAGGCCTTTAACATTATTTATTATTTGTGACTTAATTTAGTTATTTTTTCATGTTTTATGCTGTTTTAACTTGTAAAGACTTGATTATTCATTTTGAACAGAAAAGTGGCATTTAAAACAAGTATTTAAATAAAGCATAATTCATATGACCATAACACTTAATGTTCTATAGTCATCTTCTATCTTTTAAATTATTTTTATACAAAATTTTCCTTATCCCAGGTATGTTTGGTTCTCACTATAAATATATTTAGTCTTATTATTCTTCAAAAGAAACTACCACACCCTTCACAACATACAATGCATACTAAGAAATGATAAACTAGGATTACATTTCCCTGTCTTAAACACATTTTTCAAACGTTGAAATATAGGCCATTAAAAAAAAATTGACCAATATAACAAAATTCTACAGAGGGTAATAATGTACAACTACTTCAACGTGTTGCTATATTCTACTTCAAAATAGCATTGTAGGAAAAGTAGAAAGCTGCTTAGTTGTAACATTTAATATACAGAACCCACAGCATTACCACCAAAATTTTCCCTAGTGCAAGTGGTAAAAAAATCTTTGAGGTTTTAAACCAGGGGTAGTCAACCTTGGCTCTTTTATGACTCGTGGACTTCAACTCCCAGAATTCCTGAGCCAGCTAAGCTGGCTCAGGAATTCTGGGAGTTGAAGTCCACGAGTCATAAAAGAGCCAAGGTTGACTACCCCCGGTTTAAACCAATGTTGGTCCAATCTAGTTAAGGGGTGTCTGAATTTTTAGTATAGCAATACTTTCAGTGTTATTACCAACAGACAATTCCAGCAGAGATTATGTGCAATCTGTACTAGTGCATATTCTACACAGTATGGTCATACTTTGGTCAATTACAGCATATCAACACACATATTGCTTGCAATCCACCAGCTACCACATGGATGATACTCATTTCTAAGAAAGCATTCAAAGAAACTTACACCTTTCCCCCTTTCTCTTTTAATAACTGGTGCAGGCATAGTTTTAGAAACAGGGGGAGAATAAGTCAGAATTTGAAATAGCTTTCCAAAACTGGGCTTCTGTCACTCTTGGACAACATTACCCTTCCTTTCAGCACTGCCATGTGGAATGACAGCGGTGGCACCCGAGGTCTAGCTAGCATTTCCGGAGCACACCGGGGCTCAGGAACCCTGCTTTAAAATCAACGAAAATCTGCGAAGCGGGGAAGAGAAAAAGTATGAAGCCGTAAAGGAGGCCGGGGGGGGGGGCAAAGAAAGGCAACTTTGGGACTTCCAGTTTTGTTTCCCTCTTTCTCAAACCGAAGCGACTCCGCCGGCCTTTATTCTCGGCTTCGGGCTCTACGTCCTCCCGAGTCATAATTCGAAAGAATAAAAGCGGCGGCTGCTCGGAGAAGGGAAGACCCCGGGCTCGCCTTCGCGCTCTTCTTGCCAGCAAGCAAACGGACTTTCCAGGCCCCAAAGCCCAACCGCCACATTCACAACCCCGGGGACAGAAGGAAAAGCTACCGCGAGCGGCGGCGGGGGGGGGGGGGGGAAAGGAAAGAGCCGGGGACGACACGGCAGCCTTTCTTTTCCCCCAAACGCCGCCCGCTCTCCCTCCACGCGCCCGCCGATGCCCCCGCTTGCCTCTCCCGCACCTCCCGCTACCCACGGGGGGATCTCCCTTCTGGACCGGCCTGTTGCCCCCCCCTCACCGTTGAGCGCCGACGCCTGCAGCGTAGCTCCCGAGGTGCCGTCGATGACTTTGATGGCGCCGCGGGCGGTCACGGCCAGGATGGCGTTGAGCGCCGGGTGGTAACACAGGCTGCAAAGCCCGTCGGCGTCGCAACGCAGGCAGCCGTCCCGCAGCAGCAACCACTCGCAGGGGCTTGGACCCGGCCCTGGACCCGGACCCGGCCCTGGACCCGGACCCGGCCCGGTCGACGCCGGCCCCGAGGAACAAGACGCTCCCCCGGCCTCCTCCGCCGCCATCGCGCAGGACAAGAGGCCCGGCGGAGCCGCTCAGTGACAGTCCCGAGAGGAGCCGCCGCCGCCGCCGCCACTAGTCAGCATCCGGGTCCGGAGAAAGGGGGAGGGAAAAAGGGAGAGGGGGAGAGAGAGAGAGAGAGAGAGAGACCGAGCGAGAGAGAAAAGGAGAGGGAGCTGAGCGTCGGCGTCCACAGGAGGTGACGTAACTGCGCCGGAAGCAGAGTGCCGCTAAGAAACCGCTTCTCAATGTTCAGTGAAATGTTCGAAGTGAAAGGGCGGAAGGAGAATTGGCATGCGCCCTTCCGCCTCCTGAGGCGATTTCCTAGGAAGAGCTCGCTTTAAAGTCACCTGATCAGCAGATTGGGCCTATTCCTGCTTCCGTAGGCAGATGGTCTCCGCCCTCCAACCCGCTTCATGGTTGTTGAAGCGGCGGTGTATTTATTTCGTAAACTGACGAAATAGAACTACTGGAAAGAAAGAAAAAAAACCCTCAGGTTCCCTTTCAGATTTGAGAGAAAATTTATTGGCATTTTTGGCAGCCTTCTAAATTTGGAGCAATCCGAATGTGTATTGAAACGATTCCATCGATTGTTGGAGATGCCGAGGAACCTACTTTATAGATACCGGTCGGTTGAAGAAGGCTGACTGCCTACCGCTTCTTGATTCTCATTGGTTTTTGGCTTGTAAGGCCCAATATAAATTTATTATAGATGCGGCCGAGCGCGTTTATTTACAGCGTAACTGTGTATTAGAATAGTGCAGTGTTTCTCAACCTTGACAATTTTAAGGCATGTGGACTTCAACTCCCAGAATTCCACAGCCAGCAATGTTGGCTGTGGAATTCTGGGAGTTGAAGTCCACATGCCTTAACATTGTCAAGGTTGAGAAACACTGGAATAGTGAGATAATGCCCCTGCATTTCCACATATTGAAAGTAAGTAGTAAATCCCACTTCGTTGCGTTTAAAAAGACACTTGGACTTCTGTTTAAGTTGTGGAACTTTTCCTTTCGAGTGGCTCTTCTATTTCCTCTACTTTTACTATTTCCAAGAAAATAATTGGAATAATAATAAGTTGTTTGAGCCCTTAGATAGCAATACTTTGGACTGATACAAGAAAATAATTGCTATGGCCACCATATCTTGGCTGTAATAACCTGCATACCACAAGAGTTAGTTTTATCTGTCACTTTGTTGCTATCTAGTGATAATCTGGATTTCAGCAGCCAAGATATGTTAGCCCTAACAATTGGCTGGGAAAGCTAGACCATTTGGAGGGTTGAAGAAAAACTGATGCCTTTGAATTGCGGTACTGAAGAAAATCATTGAGAATACCACCAATTACAAAAAAGAACAAATCATTTAATATTGGAGGAAATAAAAATCACACTGTTCATTGGAAGCACTAATAATGAAGCTATGGTTTTGGGATACCTAAAGCAAAGGTAATAGTTAATGGAGAAAATGTTGATGCTTATAAAAATCGAATGCAATTGAAAGAGAAGCCAACGGAAGACAAGATCCGAGATACCATCACTAATGATACAAGCATGAGCTTACATGAAATCAGAAGCAGTAATCAAGAGACAGTCATGGCAGAATTATGTCCATCAGGCCACAGAATGCAGAACTTCCATTATCTGAAATGATACAATCACAGCATTGTACAGCAGTTGTCGTGCTGAACAGCACTAATCGCCACTTCCAAGCCCAGTCTGGCCAGAAAGCTCAAAACCTCTGAAATGGAGTGTCTACGGCTCATCAGACACCCTGAAGGATACTATGTGTTATCAAAAAACCATTGAGATACTCAAAAGAATCAACAGACACAGGCTATTTACTTTCAGCAGTCCTGTATTTCAGCTTTTAAAAAGCCTAGTCTTTTTCTAGCAACATATTTTCAAGGTATGAGAATTTTCAAATATATTTTTGATGATTTGTGCATTGATACAAGTTCAGAAGCATTCAGTTTAATGCTGAGGAAAGAAGCTTATTTAAGAGTAAAAAACATTACTAATTTTCTTACAGACACCATTATGTCTATTTAGTGATAGATTTCACAGGCAAACATCCTTCAATATTCAAGAGTTCTAGGGGTATTCAGCTAAAATATAGAAAGCTTGAAAATCTGAAATGGAGGTATTAAAGTAGATAAGAACAATGGCTTACATCTATGCCATTGATATTCAAGACTTAAATTCAGTAAGCAAGGTAGATAAATTTATTTGCAGAACTTATATGGCCTACTATCTCACATAGTAATCCAACTAATAAAAACAGGACTAAAAGCAGAACAATCTTTCCCATCAAGTGCCAGACGAACGAAACTATTAGCCTCCTGACTCAACACTGTCAGCTTAGCCCAGCACTTGGTGTTCACATCATTCTAGAAGGCTAAAAGAATAGGTCCTCTCAAATCTCAGTTGGGAGGCTATTCCAAAGGGCTGGGATGATTATAGAGAAGGCACATTTCCAAAGTCCCATCAGATGACAGCATTTAAGGGAAAGGACCTGGAGTGCATCTACCAGACCTAGAAAAAGGGCAGATATCCTTAGGTGCAGGTGGTCCCACAAATAACATGGCCCTGTGTAGGTGATAACAAGCCCCTCGAACTGCACCCAGAAAGAATGCAGTACAGCTCATGCAACAGTGGTTATACTGTTTCTAGACAGACAGTGGTGTAAATCAGGCAAACCACAGGGCACCCAGAACTCTGCATTCTGGACCAGTTGCAGCTTTTGAATGGTCTTCAAGGGCAGCCCTAATACAGTACTGCAGTAATCCAAATGAATAAGAATAAGAAATTTGCAAAATAAGACAACGGAAAAGTGCCAACATATGCACTACGAGCCGGGCAGCATTATAAATGTAATAACAATAGTTATTATTATTTCTTTTAAACACAGTAAAAGTCCATTGTGTAATACTACTCCTTTCAAAATGAATACTGGGGGAGGGGGGAAGTAAGCCGCTAAAGGAAACTTTTTTCCTTGAAACTAAATATGAGAATGAAAGAAAAATAGAATTAACCTCAAAATTTTGAAAAGAAACTTATGATTTCACTTAAAATAGTTATGAACGCCTACTGCAGATAAAAGTATGTATACAGCATAATTAATTTTCTCAGGTTACAACATTCAGTAGATGAAACATGAATGTAAATAGGCTGTGTCAAACTCACACATGGATATCCATGGCTTTAGCTGATGGAAAGCTATAAAATTAAAACCTTGTAATTATTTTTACATGTTTTCAGATGACAAAAGCTTGTATTTCAATAATCCTAAAAATTTATTTACACTCTTATAAACACAGGTTAAACATACAAAATACGGATATTTATCTCTTGGATTAGATATTATACAGAAGATTTATATGTATTGTGCAAACAAACTGAATTCCATTTTGTATAAAATACTTGTATTTACATATATGGTAGGCTAAAAGTAGGAGTTGATGCACTATTATAAATAAATAGTTTAAACCACTGGGAAACTGTTGACAAAGCTTCTTTTATACAGCATATTTAAATGATATTGAATCTTGGAAACATAATGGGTTCTCTCAAGTTTACAGAAAGTAATATTGCATCCTAATATACACTTTAATCCAAAGCAGTTTCTAATCAATTAAGACAATAACTATTTTAATGAATTAGCATTTATACCAAATACATTTTTCTATTTAAGTATGCTTCTGATGTTTGGCTGATTACATAAATTTGAGATCATGCTGGACAGAATGGACAGAAGCTTTAACCCAGCATATGTTCAGGGCATTGAGTATGAGAAGTCTGATATTGCCCAGATTGCCATATATCTGTGTTACATCTAGGCATAGCTATCTGATATAAAGCTGAATTTGAGTATTAAGAATTAAAATGGGTAGATGAAACTGAAATCTTACATTTTAAACAGAAATAATATTGTGTAGTTTCATACATTATGTTTTTCTTCAATTTTAGTGGGTTTTTTTCCCTGTAAATCAAAGTCTATCATAGAATTGGATGTTCTAGAGGCCATTCAATATGTGGTTCTGAAAATGATCACTATCATGATTACACAGAAAACCGCAGGCTGTTTTTAAGCAGAAAGCAGCAGTTCCAGAGCTTTTACAAGTACAGGTATCCCTTCATATGAAAAGAAGATATAACTGTTATTCTTCAATTTTTAGAATTATGTAGAGGGGGAACTATTAGAAGGCACATTTTACAGCCTTTTTGTTTTATTCTTGGCTTTGATTTCCAAGAATATATTCATAAAAATAAACTGGGTCTAATGAAATGAAGGGGGTGTAGAAGGAAAGACTGATGAAAACAGCATTACAGCACAAGCCTCACCCTGTTTCGTGACACTCCTTATGTCATGCATTGCACACCTGCCCCAAAGTGTTGGAGCTTGCAGTGTGATGCTCCTTTTATCATTCTGACAAAAGCAACCAGATCCTGTGGATGCGCTGAATAATAAACTCTAACATAGGGAATGGATTTAAGTTATTTTCCTAAATGCTGATAATTTCCATCAAAATAAGAGAATGTTAGGTCTAAATTTATCTGCTTAATGATAAAAAATCTGCTGCTCGACTTACAGAAATGGCAGAAATTGAGAATTTGTCAGTAAAATCAACAAATAGCCAGAATAGTTCGTAGCTACTTATTTTTCTATTAAGTGTTTAACTTCTTACTCAAATACAATCAAATTTAATTGATATGAAAATGTTTAGAGTTATTGAAAAACAATATGATAATATGTTAACAATTTTGTAAAGTGTACAGTTCCAAAGTCTCCTGGCTATAAGTTATTTAAATGCAGCCAGATGTCAATGTGCATCCAAAATTCAAATTCAAAAAATGCAAAAGTAATTGTTTCTGTATTTGGATGAACAACTCAATGCAATTTATGCCTTGATTTCAAATTTGACAAAAATTACTTGTATGTCTATATCTACTTATCTGAATAAGCAGACTGGATTCAATATGTACCTTGCAAATGATAAACGTTGCTATGAAAATCCTTATTTAATAATGCAGAATGTCTTTTTTATTTGTGACTAATATACAATTATATTAAAGAACCATTTCAATAATGTCAATTCATATTAAACTTGATAATCAAATTGCAAATGCAACTTTGCGGCTAACAATTTTACCAATCCCAAACCAGTTTACATCGAACAGCAAAACAAGGCGTTATAAAACAAGTTCAATTTTGAAGAAAGCAATGTTTATTCTACTGAAGATTTTTTTCAGAATCATACTATTTATTTAAACTTTTTTCCACTTACCACTTTCATAAAGCTGCAGATAAAAACTTTTTTTCTGAAAGATTTCAAAATCAACTTTGTAAAGCAATATTTTGCTATGACATATTTACAAGAACTTTTTTTTAAAAAAAGAATTACTTCAAATACTACTAAATATTACTTCAAAATTTCATGTTATGGTAATGACAACCATAAATCCCCTTTACGATGAAATTTCCTAAGATCAACATAAAACTTTAAATCAGAATTGATAACAATAGCCAAGTCAAGATTGGACAAGATTACACATTATAATATAGGAACAATGAGGATTGGCTGATAAATACATTTATGGGAACTATAGTTTCAAATGATAACTCATTTTTTCCAAGTTCCATGAGAGTTTACCTATCATATGGACCTCGTGCTTTTGGCACAAGTAACAAGTTTCTTCAAACAGCATGTTTGTAAACGTTACCATCCTTATTCTTTAAAAATCTAACATACCTAAAACTCTGGTATAAATCTGTAATATAATTAAAAATGCTTAAATAATAATACACAGATGTACTTAAGGATACTATTGAAACTTCATCCGCCTGATAGGATACAGTCACTTGCCTTTTCTATCCACCAACAGTTCAGTCTTCATGGTGATCAAAATGTCCTTGTTTGAATCTAGCAATTTTGGTCACACCCCAGTATATAAAGACAGAAAATAAATGTACAATAAAAAGATGGGATAAATCAGAAGAGGCTTCTTGGTTTTAAATTCTTCACCAACTAATAAGGAAGCAGCACTGTATGCAGCCCAAAATACTCCAAAAAGCTGGCAGAAATAAAAAAAAGAAAGAAATGTTATCAATAGAAGGAAAGTCCCAAACTGCACAGTAGAACTTTTTTTTATCAAGAAACAGCAAAATAACCTCTGGTTATGGACAATAACCTGAAACTAAATTCCTATTGCTATGTGGACAATCTGACCCTGCAGTTCAACATATCTGGAAGGCACTACATAGCAGGAAACTATCTCCAGTTAATACCAAATCAGTTCTGTAATCCCAAATGAATGTATTTATAAAATGAGAAAGTCCAAACAAGATTTTTTGTTTTGTTTTCCTCCCCATACTTATTAAAGCAGTCAATTTATTATTATTTGGAGAAAAAAGTAATTTTATCCAACTGTTTTTGAAAGCTTTCTTTAACAGGTTGGTTTCTTTTATATCTTTTTTTAATGTCAAAAATATACAGTAGCTTTTTTCTACATCAAAATATTTATTTATAGGAATATAGCCATTAAAAGATGGAATACTGTAAGTCAAACTTTATTATATATTATATCTCATATCATATATATATTTATATCCCTGCCTGAATTGGGCTGAGAGAGGCTGACCCAAGGTATCCAGCTGGCTTTCATGGCTAAGACAGGACTTGAACTTTCTAGCCATAATCATTTGACTGAATTGGGTCTCAATTTATAGGCATAAATTAGCTCAAAAGCAAAGCAGAACATGAGTACTATCTGCATAATATACTGCTGTATAAAATTAATTGATATATTGTTGAGATTTTAGTCTTCTTGTCATGAATAATATTGAACTTACTTTTATTAGAGTAGAAACGATTTCAAATGATCCAACTACCAGGAGTACAGGTGCTATTACAATAAGAGGAAGTAAAGAATATCCAATCACTCCAAGAACTTGGCCATATGCAACCTGTAAATTTAAAATACTTCAGTCATTGTTTCCAGTAACTCAGTCTACTAACAAAGATAACCGTTCAAGCTTGACTACATACGTCATGTGTTCTTACAAGCCTAATACCCAAATCCTCTTGTTCATGTAGTCATTTTCTAAATGATCAAAACTTCACAGAACGGTGGACTTAAAACTATAAAAAGGAAGGCTCTGGTTAGAAAAATATTCCTAATAATAAGAGCAGTTCAACAAAGGATGTTGAAAAGGATAAAAGACAAGGGTTTATATGAAATGGGTGTTGAAAAGAAAAATATATTGAAAAGGTTATTTTTGAATAGAGGTTGGATACCCATTTGTTTTGAATAATTTGGATTTCAGTATTTAACAGCAGAATTGTCTCAGTGATATAAATAGACTTTTTCAATGTTACCAGTTTTCTTTTTCTATACTTCCCAACTTACTGATACCTTCTGATAAACCAATAATATTGGGGAACTAGCATTCATCCAAGTTGATCTTAGATAGGACCATAAAATGGGCAACTAAGGAATGAAAACCATTATAACTAGTGCCAATTTAAAAATAATTTAAGTTGAACTTTCACAAAATTCTTACCTCTCCTCCAAGAACCCTGGCCAACAGGAAGATTGTTAAGGATCCAAATATCCAAATAGTTATAATCCAGGATACCACCTTAAGAAATTGTTAAAGATTCTAATCAACACGGTTACTTCTGAACTGAAAAATTAATTAATTTTGACAAAACAAATACTCTTCCTTAAATTGAAAAATAATACTTTCAATCAGCCCATTCATTCTTGTTCATGCAATTGTGCAAGCCTTATTCTGGACAAAATCCTCTAAGTTTTCCTAACATAACACTGGTTGCTTCATATTATGAAATTTTGTGATTATCCTAATTAAACTGAATGGCAGGAAAGTGCTAGGTTTCAGGGTGGGCTTGAATATCTACATTACATCTATCAACCTGTCCTTAATTCAAATATGTATTTTCTTAAGATAATACAGCCACTCTGCAAACTCATGCTGATTTTTAAAGGAGATGCTGACAGATGCAACGTCTGTTCCTAGACTTGCTCCAAAATATCTTTTCAACTTCAGATCAAAAGTGCAACCCTACTAAATCCTGAGTACATAACAGATGGACAAATAAAATGCAGCACTTTGTTCATTAACACTACTGCCATGATACTTTCAATAACTTCTCTAAATTTGATAACATAAGTAATACATAATAAACTTTAAAAGTGATTAATTATAGATCAAGTTAATCAGTGGCTCCTAGTAATTGTAACAGTAACAGGAATAGCAGTAATAGTTTTAGTTATTTTGCATAAGTAGAATTTTCAGATTCAAAAAATTGTTCCTAAGAGCTGCTATTATCGTTAAGCCTTGCCTATGGAATTCTTGTTGGCCACTATAAGAAACAGAATAGATTCAGCTTGATCCAGAAGACCTCTGCAAAATTACATTTCATAAAGGAGGCAACCACTATAATGTATTATCAATGGATTAGGGCCAAAAGGTTCAGTCTGCAGAACCCATTCGAATTTCACTTGGAAATAGTAGATTAAAAATAAACAAAAAGCAGGATAACGTAAGCACAAGCAATATATTGAAGGAGAAATAAAATTTAAGATAAAAAACATCACTATATTCCAGTTATTTTTCAGAGTATATTCAAGTTTTTTATATGAAGATGCAGGCAAGTTTAACATTTGACTGATAACAGTTTAACTGTGTTAACGGTTGATGAGTATAAAATAATGAAGGTGCTTTAAAAAAAATTTCACCCACCTTGAATTGTCCATATAATGATATCATTGAGAAGAATAAGACAACAGCCAAAGGGCCCCAGAAGTCAGGATTATCTCTTACTACTTGTCTGTTGAATCCAAGAGAAGGCATTGGCATCAAGACACACCGAATTTTGTAGTATATATCCTTCAGATCAATGTCTAATTCTTCTCTGTTATAAAAAAGTAGAAGTTCCATAATATGTCCTGAAATTATGGCTTAGCATTATTTGAGAAGACAGACTTTATGAATTGTATATGAAACACAGTAACTGATTTTCCCCCCAAATATCTTTAGCTATTATTGAACAAGCAGAAGTACTGACACTTTTTAATACTAGCAAACAATAAGCTAAGCCACTCCTTGTCTGACAGCTATATTATTCCATGTTAAATACTGCAAGACAATAATGACTCTATTCTTACTCTCTAAGAAAGAAAATTATAGTAAGAAACCTAGAAATCAAACTATTATCAGAAATTGATGTCCTTTTATCCATGGAATACAGATGCAAATATTAAAAACCTTAAGCATTTTTAAACAATTGTCTATCATAGCTTTGAGCTTCTTCTGATTAAAGTTTTTAATATTTTTATATTGATTCTACTGAAAAAATATTTTAATCTATAATGTTTTCTAAACAGTATACTATGACATGCTGCCGAAATGGAAAATTCTGCTTATAGTTTCCCAAAAATATTGAAATGATAGCTATATTTAAATGTCAATAAATACAGAATTATTTGTCAACTTTTCTTTTCATTTACCTCTTTCTTCACCATTCCTCAGATCACTGCCCTTGCACTAAAAGAAGAAATTGGTTTGAAGGGCAGAGCTGAGCTAAGAATCTCAAAGCAATAAAAACTTACAAGAGTGGTTTATTATCTTCAGGGTCATCATCTTCTACTTCTAAAAGCCAGCCATAACCTCTTTGCCTCAGGAAGGTGGTTGCTGTGGATTCTTTCATAAATTCCACATTTCCTCCTCCAAGGTTGAGTTTCACATCTGTAGATGCTATTGAGCCACTTAGATCTTAAGTAAAAAAAAATGTAGTCAAGAATATATATTTTGCTATATATATGAGAAAAGGGAAGGTCCGTAGCCTAATTTTCATATCACACTACATTATTGCATTTTTGGTTTGTTGTTGGCTTGACCAAACTCATTCTACAAAAGAAAACATGGTTTATAAATTAAAGTGGATGGATTTGCATATTATCCTAAGCTTTAAAAAAAAAGTGTAACATAATGAGAGAAGCTAAATTATCCTTAAACACATATAAGAAAATTGCTTAGAAAGAAATACATTGGTTGCATAAAGAAATCAAAAGACGTGCACTGAAAAATGTGTTAACGTGAACTTAATAAATTTTTAAAGCAGTGATATCCTTTGGAAGGCTTGTGATTGCCTTGGAAGTTGTTGGATGCATGCATAGATGACACTAGATTTGGGACCACCAGCAAAGTAGCATGGACACACATGGGTGGATACCTGGAGACAGTTTTTAAAGCAACCATGACAGCTTTCCAAAGGACCTGGCTGCTTTAAAGCTTCAGGAAGGGGTGCCATGCTCATGTGATATGTTTTGCAAAGCCCTAACAAATGCCAATATATTTATCCATTGTGGAGAGTTGAAAGGTTCACTTTAGCATGAAGTTTCATAGAGTTCTTCCCTATAGTTCAGCTGAAATGCCAACAGTTAATTAGCCAACAGGAAACTAAAGCAATATAGAATTTGCTGTCCATATATGCTTTTGCTTGCTGCTAGAGGATGGTGGTGTTATTTCCTGTGCAAGAAAGACAATGCTGTCCCATCTTCTCATCATCAGCTGGCAGGAAAACCATTCCCTAATCACAGAGATAAAGCTTGTTCTGTAGATTTACATCTTGACTCCTTTCACTTGCCACTTCTCCCAGCCTGGGGATCAGCTGCCCAAGCTAGGAAAAAGAGATGGCAGATCTCTTTACTCCCCAGATCTTCAAACTAATCAGTGACTCAAAGATTTGGACCAGATAATTCAAACAGCAGACTGGCACAGGAATCTGTAGTAACCTTTACTGTTTTAGTATTGCCTGCCCACTTCTTAGCTGTTGTTCAGGTTGAAATTGAACACAGGCTTAGTATTATTTTAAAAAAAAAAACATTGAAGAAAAGGCCAAACAACAACTGACAGATAAAATGCTAGGATGGGGAAAGGATATGCTATAAAATGCATTTTTTCGTCTTGCATTATCACATAGTCCACTTATTCATGTAGGTGGCATGGCCGAAAAAAATAGATTGTTTGGATTTGTCAATGATGTGGTTAGGCAGAAACAGGGAAATACTTTTAAACTACAAAAGACTTATGTACCGACAACAAATACTCTAAAATCTTGTAAATTAAAAGACTATGGGCAAAGCAATTTTATATGACAAATCTAAAAAATAAAGAATTGGAGAAAAATATCTGTGGTTTATTATATATAACTCTAAGTCTAAGATACTTTCACAATCCAGAGTAAGATGCAGCCAAACTCTGTTCCAATTATGCAAAATAAATGACTGTTTGATTAGTGAGCAGGGTAGATTAAAAACTTGGCCTGTTAGTTCTGTAATGATAATGCTCAGATACTGCTGAAACACTGCATCTATTCTTTCTAAAATCCATAGAGCTGCTATTATACTTTTCTGTTCACTGCACAAAAATGTTTTTGATTGAAGAGCATGAAGGAGATTTAACTTAAATACGCAACAGTTTAACCATCAGTAGAACTTATGGGATGTTCAGTTTTGAAGTACAGAGCCATATACAGTGTAGAGAACTAGTTGAGTTTTGAAGTTTTCCATTAAAAACCTGGAAATCTCAATAAATTTAATACAGTAGTCCTCTACTTATGACCACGATTGGCACTAGAACTCCTGTCCCTATGTGATGTGGTTGTTACACACCCAATTTTGCCCTATTTAACAGAATAACAGAGTTGGAAGTGATCTTGGAAGTCTTCTAGTCCAACCCACTGCTTAAGCAGCACCCTTAACTTCTGAAGGTAAGCTGTTCCACTGGTTAATTTTTCTCACTGTTAGGAAATTTGTCCTTACGTAGTTCTAGATTGCTTCTCTCCTTGATTTATTTATTAAATTTATATGCCACCCATCACGCTATCCAGAGTGTCTGCATATGCAATGGTCATTAAGCAAATCACCAAGATAATTTAGCAAATCTTGCAGTCATTAGCCAAATCCAGCTTCCCTCTTTGCTTGTTGGAACTCCCCTGGGAAGGTTGTAAATGGAGATCACACGATCCCAGGATGCTGCCACCATCCTAAATACATGCTGGTTGCCAAGCACCTGAATACTGATCAAGTGACTATGGGGATGCTGTAATGGTAATAAGTATGAAGACCAGTTGTAAGTTATTTTTTTTCAATGTCATCATAACGCTGAATGGTTGTTAAATAAATTGTCATCATAGAAGGACATAATGGCATCCATACTAATTCAGCTCCAAGGCCAGTCTAGTTCACATTTTGTCTTCACAGCTGCTAATCACATGGTTATGTTAATAAGAGCAGTTTCAACTGCAACTTGGTAGCTATGTCCTTCAGCAACTGGTATCAAAAGTTTTAGTGTTTCTGGTGTCAAATGTAAACCATAGTTGCCATGATCAACAGGGATTGTAAACCCCCTTCAAACACTATGATCTCACTTTTTCCATCTTTCTCCCAAAATATGTCCAAGCCTGTGAATCATACTAATTCGATGTGATCAGCGTAAGTTTTCAACTTCACTTATTATCAATTATGTTGATTAACTAATTTCCCCCCAACTGTTGCCCTCCAGTGGTACTTGACTCCAACTCCCAGAAAGCTGCTCAAAGGCGTCCCAAACCTGCATTACACCTACAGAAATCTATACACCAGTTGTTTCTCAACCTTGACCATTTTAAGGCATGTGGACTTCAACTCCCAGAATTCCACAGCCAGCAATGCTGGCTGTGGAATTCTGGGAGTTGAAGTCCACATGCCTTAAAATGGTCAAGGTTGAGAAACACTGCTATACACAACAGCAATCTGTGCTGATGCCCTATTAGAGTAAGTAACCAAGGTGCCACATCCACAGCCTTGTGCGCAATTTATGGAAGAGAGCCCGCAAAGAATGGAAGGAAACCACCAGAATGTTTGCATAACTCAGTTTTAGTATGTACTCCCTTTGTTTCTTTAGCGGCTCTGCGGAACTCAGTAAAGCTCCACACTCCCCCTCCTCCTCCTCTTCTCCTCCTCCTCCGCCAGCACCACCACCATTACTCGATCCCTCCTTATTTACTGGACATGTTCGTCCAACCCTCCTCTCTTCCCGCAGGTGCCTCTGCCACGCAGACCAGGCTGCGCCATAGGGCTCCGCATTTCTTGGCATCTGCTCGGTTCCCTCCTCCAGGCAGCCCCGGCGTGCCCTCTCCGCAGAAGGCGCTATCCCCGCGCCCCACTCCCGTTCTTACCTTCGGCATCGGCCGAGGAGACGAAGGTGAAATCGCCGTTATTGGGAGCGTAGAGCGGCTGCACCGGAGGCGACGCTTTGGGGGGACCCGGGTGCTGCATTGCTCCGCCCGCGGACAGCCTCGAAAGCTCGGTCGGAGAGCCAAGAGAGGGCCGAACGGGAACCGCCGGGCACCCGGGTCAACAGCAACCCGCGGAGGCGGAGATCATCCCCTCCTCCCGCTGACTGAGCATCAACCAGCAAACCTGAGATCGACTTTCCGATTGGGCTCCCGTAAAGCCCTCTTGGATTGGCTGCTAAGATCTGCTTCCCGATTGCCTCGGAACTGGATCTCATTGGTCTGGAGAACCCTGGTGCTTGGTAATTGGTTGGAACAGTACGAGACGGCAGGCGGAAGAAAGAAAAAGATGGAAGGGTGGGGGTTACTTCTGGAAAGAAAAAGGGGGGGGGTGTAAATCTTGTACTGTCTTCCATGAAACTTCCACGCCGATGATGATGATGATGATGATGCCACGAAAGAAGCTTCGGTTAGAATTCTGATTGGCTACTTCCTTGCATTTGTGCATTTATTTTGTTGCGTAAAAAAATAGGGATTTCTCTGCTTATTTTTTGCTTAGCAAGCGCCTGTTCTGCTGATCTATTAATGCTCAGTCAGTATTGTAATGCTGAGGAGGCAGAATGCATCTATTGAATCTATTGTTAGATCTCTGAGTTATTTGCAGTAGATCAGCACGGAGTTCCAATGGTCAAGTATTTAATAGTTGGAGCAACTACTGACATGCTAAAATGACAATAGTTTTCAGATAAACCAAAGCTCAAACTACATCAAGATACGCTTTTTCAAAAACCTTGTCTGGTCTTAGAAGTATTTCTGATGCTTTTACATGTGTGGGAAGTCAGCCCCCACCCCACCCCGAGAAGGAAATATTTAAAAGGCAGAATATATTTCCCTAAAGGATTTTAAAAGCAGAAACCAACCCCGCCCCCAAGTCTCTCTGTCCCAAATAGAAACCAAGTCTGCAGAATTGCAGATGTGATAATCGTGTCAGAAAGACTGGAATCAGGAAACTGGGATTTGGAAGAAAGATCGCTAGAAGCAACACCAAAAATCTAAGAGTCATCAGCCACAGCCCCAGGGAAGCAGGATATGACCTTTGGGACATAATAGGATTAACCCACCTCCATCAGAATACCAGAAAGGCACACTTAGACTTAGATCAAAGTTCATGCCACAGGAACAACTCCAAAGGCTCAAGAAGATATAAAAACCTACTCCCTACATGTGCTCGCTCTCTTTTTTTTCCAGAGCCATCTTTCTGTCTGGCTCTCCTCTTCAATAAACTGCAACCTTCTTTCTAAAGCAGTCGCCATGTTGTTTATTCCCAGCTTGGACTGAACCATGATGAAGACTTTTCCTTCAACATATACCTTGTATATAATTGGGGGAGTGTTGTGGCAAGTTACTTTTACCCCACTGCCTTTCCTTCACTGTTGCAGCAATTTTGAACCTTAAAAGGCAGAAGCAGGAAATGCATCAATCAAGATCATTAACGCACCAAAGATACCAGGGGCCACAGTATGAAAGATCCTTTCAATTACTTTTAACAACAGAGGACAGAAAAAATCCCGCCACTAAAGATGCAGATTCTTCCTTGAAATCTAGAAAACAGTACAGTATTAGTTAAAAGAATCCTTTAACATGCATATGGGGCTGTTTTAAAAATAATACAAATATATTGTTATTGATATTTGTTAGATTCATAGCCCACACTTTCTCGAGAAGCTCAAGGTTATTTAACACGAGAGAGTCCAGTCATTTTATACTCAAGCTGAGAGAACACAAGTGGCCCAATGTCATCCAATGAGTTTCCATAATTCAAAGTGGATTAGAATCTGGATTTCCCCAATACTAGTCAATACTTTATCATTACACCAGAGTCTGGGGCCTAGATAGCACAATATGGTATACATATTGTGGAAACTCAGCACCCACCCACCTTCCTAGAGAAGGAAATATTTTGGGGGATATTAAAAAAGACAGAATATTATATTTACCCAAAGGAATAATGGAGAAAAAAATCATAGACAAAAACAGTCTCCCTGCCCCAGGCAGAAACTGAGCAGGCCAGCTTTTATAAATGCAGATTTGGTAATCTATTCAGGAAGACTTGGTCAATCTATTCATAAGCAAAATGCCTTTAGACACAACTCCCATAGATAGAAGTCTGGAACTGAGGGGATTAGAAAAACAAAGATTCCAAGGGCAGGACTTGACCTTTAGGACATAATAGGATTAACCCACCGCCATTAGAATACCAAAAGGACACAGGTCAAAGTACATTGCACAGGAACAGGCATCTCAAATACAAAGCCCAAGAAGGTATAAAAACCCACCCACTCTCAACTCCAGTTGGTCAACTGTGCCAGAACCACATGACTGCTGATTCTGCTCATCAATAAAGAGATTTTCTTTCAAAAGCAGCCTCTGTTTTATTCCCAGCTTGGAACTGGACTTGGTTTTTCTTCCTACAGTATGTTAATTAAAAACAATCAATTTGTGATTGAATTTGCTGATAAAAACAGGATCACCAACATGATCGCCAACGTCCGATAACGGATATGGCACAAGAAGAAGAAGAATGTAATGAACCAGGCCAATGTATGTGCTCATATCCTGCTAACCAGTAAGATATTCTATTTTATTTTGGTTTAGTGTGTGTCAGATATTATAGTAATAAATTACTGTACTGTACCATAAATTGTTGGGTTCTCCCTTTTTATATTGCTGTGCCTTTTATTTTGTAGTTCTATTGATCTATGCACTGTATTTTTAAAAATGTGTTTGCAATTTTACGATTAAAAAAATAACTAGGAATTGATTCACTGTCAGCTATCCATGGTTGTTAATGAGCAGTCCTGTCTTCGGTTATCTCACATATGTGCTGTCCTAGATGTGTCAATAGCATTGCTGCTGTTTACAACTATTCCAGGGGCAAAAACAAGGGCAAAATGGGCTTTCTGAAAATTGAAATAGATTAAAAATCACTTGAGCACAATGTTTCAAGATTGGCTATCTAGACTTGCCAAATTAAATATAAAAAATGAGTGAGCTAAAAAAATAAATCTTAACCAGTTTCATCTTTCACCTTGAGCAAGAATAACTAATAGTTTTGTTCTTAATTATAAAATAAGAACTTCATCTGTAAATGATATACATTTATAATGCTTCATATGAAATAGTATGTATTTGTTGAGAGTTGGGTGAAATCTAGAGCTCATTTGTCCTTTCCTTCACTTTTGAAACAATCCCTGAATTTTGCTTCCCACAGCAATGCCATCATTCCCAGGGTTCTAACCTAATTAGAATATAGATCTAAAATATGGGATTTCAGCAGTCAGACAGCTTTAGTATAGATTTTGTCTTAGTGGTGGTAGAGCTGCCAAAGCTAGTTCTTGGTGACTTCAAACTGTAGAATTTGTAGCAGCTCAAGAATTCATGACAATTCTTGACTTGAGCATTGGAGATTGCATATTGGTCTGGTTTCTGTCTTGGGGTAGTGTGATAGAATATGCACCTGGAGAAGCCATGCATGGAATTTTGGCAGCACAGAGCTTTTCCAAGGTGGAGGCAGTACATTCTAAAGAGAACCCCAAATTTTAAAATCAGTGCAGTCCTGAACTAAGAGGAAGGGGGAAGGAGATGTTCAGGGTAGTCACACCCTAGAATTTCTCAAGATGTATCTATTAGGGTGGATGGATATAGCTTTAGTTTGGCAAGATTCTGTCCATTTAGGTGTAAGCAAATAAACGATTGGGCTCAATTGGATTTCGCTGTCATCTTTGAACTTGGGCCTAATGAATAGTTGCGTTGTGAGCTGGTAATCAAAGTCCTTGCTATGGTTGGGTCACTCTGATTGCTTTTGCTTGACTGGTTAGGGTTCCAGAAGGGTTTTAGAAGGATGGGTTCCAGAAATCGCTTAGCAGTTTTTTGAGTTTTCAGCAGACAGTTCAATTGAGTCCTTTGTTGGACTCTAAAATAGGCATCTATGGAGGGATTTAGATCGGATTGTTCCTATATGGCCTCTGATTGTAGTCAATCCTGGGTGTTTCTTGGTTTTCTGAGAAGCTCCAGGAGATGAAATAGCAGAAGAGATGCCAAGAGTGACAATGGAGCAAGATAAAGAGTAAAACCTGGCCTACAGGCTTACTACAGATAAGAACCCATCTTACATTGTGGCAAAAAAAGCAACAAAATGTGAGTATTTTTTCTGCTGTTATCATAACCACAAATAGCTGTCCAGCAGCCCTTTATAAGGTGCCCATTCACTGCTGCAGAGAACAGGCTACAAGAACATTTGAAGAGCCTCTGTGAAGAATAATTTAGGCATCTGGAATAAAGTCACTCAGATCCATTTGGAATCATCCATTTGGATGATGGAAGCACAATCTTGCATGCTTAGCTGGGTTGAGTCTTGTTCAGGAGACACTTTTACCTTATTAGTTCTTTATCCAGAATTCATAGCTAACAATACGTTACTGTTGAAATGTTGTTTATTGCTAGGCTGGCTGGACAAATTAAGGAAGAAAGATCTGGTGGGATATATGAGCAGGATGGTGCTACTGACCTTATGACCTACTGGATGCTTTGTATAGGTATTGGCTAATCACTGTAGGAATAGAATGGTGGACCGATTCACCAAATGTTTTAGTATTATAGCTCTCACCACCTCTTGCCATTGGCTATTGATGTCCAAATATGGCAATGGGGAGTGCTGGCAATTGATATCTAACTTTTACAGGCCCACCATTTCTCCTTCTAAAGTCTTTGATATAATCCAAGCTGGCTCTTATTACAGCCTAAGACATAGCAGATGACAACATAATACTTTCCAGAGGTACGATATTTCTTTAGGTTTTCTAAGCAATGGGGAGGTTGTGGTCAATTGTGTAAGAAGATCTTATTGTTCTTATTAAGAGTCTTTTGCCCAGGGACATATATAAGTTGTTGATTTTTTTAGGTCTCATCCTGCTTTTATTATTCTTGACCCATGTAGATGTTTCCATTCCATCTTTAATATCTTGATCACAGATGTTTAATTTCTGAGTTTAGCTAGCTAATTTATATTTAGCAAAAGGTTTTACACTCATAAATCAGTACATTCCAGCAACTAGAATGTAGCTCTGTAAAAACATATTCTCTTAACCTGTTTGAACTAGGTCTTTTG